AGACAAGCCTGCCAGCAGTTTTATCGCCGCAGCACAAACTGTGAGTTTCCATAGGATCCATAGAAATTAAATATGAAGAGAGGACTCCCTTGTCCTGTCACCTCGCTTTGCCTTGCTCCCCTTCTACTCCTCTTCTCCTGCATTTGGAAAGCTCTAAGTCATTATGTCCTCAGCATACCCTGCAGACTCATCTTACCTTTAAGGTACACTGATAATCACACATGAGTTTACATGAAGGGAGAGAGGTGATGAGCGCCTGATTCCCCCCTTTGGGTACTGAATGAGACATGAGTGACAGCTTAAAAAGGAACCACCAAACCCAGGATCCAAAAGGTTCGCAGATGATTCTCAAGGCAGCCCTTTTCCATATTGGAGGCCTCAACCATACACGTGAACCAGAAGGAAGCATGAAATGCTCTGAACGCATTTAAGGCCTGAGAAAATATTCGAGGTTCAACTCCAGTAACATTTTTAGAACTTTTCAGTCACTCAAATCCCTATAATTGCCACATTTTGTAAGCCCTGTTGTAAAGGAAGTCACTGTAGCACGAGCTGCTGCCATGAATGCATTTTTGCCCAGGTCTGCTGGCTGAAGTGCCATGAGAACTGTGTTCCAGCAGGGTCAACACTGCTGCAGGCAAACCCACCCACCTTCAGCACCAAAGTGCCCGTAAGCTGTATGAAATCCCTGCTCCTACAGACCATAAACGCATTGCAGCTTGATGTTTGACTTGCCAAACACCCTGAAACCGCCATCAGAGGAAGTTCAACCTGGGTTACACCCACTGGCTTCCCTAACCACAGAACGCAGCTCTGGTGGGGAATGGACACATGAATCATGTCATCCCCGTTACAAAAGCTGGAAGCACACTGTTGGGACTGGAGCAAAGTCTACATGAGATACATTAATGAGTCCATACAAGGAACTGCTTCTTCAGCCTTCCTCTGGTCTGGAGCTGCAGAATCCCTCCCTGTCTGAGGGCTACCCCACCTGTGTTTGCTCTGACAGTCTCTTGCTGAGATAAGCTGTGTCTGAATGCAAGCCGTATGGAAAGGGCTCTGCAGGGAGGAGAAAAACAGTACAGCACAGTGTTGCTGTATTTTTTACCATGCCTACAGAGGATGCATATGGTTAAAAACATCTAAATTGAGAGACAGCAAATTAGCATAATTGCATCTTCCACAGTTAGAACTGCTGAGTTTTTGGGATGCTTAGCAGGCTGTCATTTCAAACAAGGGTGGGCAGAAGAACATGGATTTTCTCAGTTCCAGAGAAGAACCACGTTGCAAGGCAGCACACAGATAGGGAGCAAGCACAAGTCCATGAGAATGTCCTTGTGTCCTGTCCCTGCTGACTGAGGCTTCCCAGAAGGCTGCTGCTCCCTTTTCTCATCGCAGAAAGATGCACAGCCTTTCCTCAGGCATCACTGTATCCATTACACCATCAGCTGTAATTTCAAGGCAGTAATTCATTTAGGAACAGAATCCAATTAACTGCGCACAACGGTAATCTCGTTTGTGTTTTGGTTTAGAATGACTGATTATCAGCTGTGCCAACTACAATATTTGCCTCTGTGCCTCTGACAGAGATGTTCTGAAACACCCTGCCTGTTACCTACCCAAACACTGTGCTAATCCAGTTGAAAAGGAATAGAAAGTGAAACACCTTCAGAGTATTCACTAACAGTGGGGGTTGTAAAGATGGCATATGGGCATTCTGTGTGTGTGGAAGAAGTGGCAGATTTAACAAATTTAATGACTGCACTTTGACCTAACAGCTTCAAATAATCTTTAAGAATTAACCAACGACAGAAAGCATACGAATCCAAGTTAACACTGACTTGTCTGTGCAAAATGCTTAATTTGCTTTTAAGTGCAGTCCTGTGGGAAGCACAGTGCTTCCAAGCACTTGAAAGTATGTCATTACGGCACTGCCAAGGAATGCTATTTATTGCCTCAATAAACAACCACAAGGTGACTGCAGGATGTTACACGCTTGTGTTTGGGACCGCACCGGGCTGCCAGAGCGCCGTGCCCTCCTGCCTCAGCGCTACCTGGAGCTCAGCATTAAACACCGAAGGAAGTTACCACCGAAGGACAGCAATGAAAAGAAACCTACTGACAACTGATGCTTTACCGGAGTTTCCCAAAGACCTCCGAATAAGCACTGCAAAAAGAGCAAGAGGACGAGCGGATGAGAACTCCCAGCTGGACAGGACACGGGAAGGCTGCGCAGCCAGCCGACACAGCCCGGCCCTCGCACACTGCCGCAGGATCAGAGCATCACTGCCGCAGGTCCGCCCAGCCGCCAGGAGACAGCGCACCTGGCCCGGCCCCGTAAGGAGCCCGTGCGGCTGTGCCAAACCCTCCCAGAGCTGGAAGGCGCTGATAAAGCCCGATCTATGAGCGATAGCCGGAGCAGTAACTTGAGTAGGAACAGAGGCGGTGCAAAAATGAGGAACTAAATGCTTTCTGAGCCTTAAGGCGGTATCGTGTGGAAACAATCCTTCCCCCTCCCCCCTCCTCTGAAGGGCAGTGTCCAAGCTGGTATTTGCACAGGATGCCCAAGCTGCTTCCTGTCATCTCCCCTCCTGCTTAAACCGCCGAAGGAGTGAGCCGTGCCCATCCCGCTGGGGACGCAAAGGGACGTCTCGGCTGACATCAGCCCTTCTTCTGCACAGCGAAGCATTAAACAAACCCCGTCACTGGGAAGCAAGTTGTGTTTAAGAGAACCCGGCACGGAGCTGCAGGGTGGAGCGCACCTCACCGGCAGGAACCGGAGACAACTCCAGAGGGACACAGCTCGCTTCTTACGTAAGAAGACACACTGGGCGGTGTGAAACAGACGGGAAAGCTTCCAGTGACTGCGGGAAGGGCACAGGAAGCGCTCCCAGGCTCCATTCCTGATGTGGAAACCCCTTCGCTCATGGAACCCAACGCCATGAGTCACGGGGGATGCGGTTTCCCTCTGCAATCACCCTCAGGGTGGTTTTCCAAAAGCAGTATTACTGCGAATGTGGAACTATTTTTATTTTTAATGAAAGCGGCATAATCGAGAGGCTCGGTGCTGAGCTCGGTGCGCTCTGCACAATGCACCGGTACTGCAAAGCCGCGAGGTATCTGAAAGAAAGCAGCAGCTCGATCGAGTCCCACCGGCCCATTTTCTCAAGGCGAGCCAATAACGACTCTCTTTTCAGGCAATGCAAGGCGGGCAAAATATCCCATTACGGCACCTCAGCTCGGCTTCCCGTGTTTTGTCATTCAAAAACGCGGATCCCTCTAACAAATCCCCAAAAGCGAAGGGCTGGTTTGGTTTGCTCGGTGATCTTCCTGCTTCGTAAAAGCTCGTCCGTACGGGAAAACACAGACCTCCCAGAATCTTCCTCTCTTTCCTTCCTCCAACACACCCAATCCCGCAGGCCGAAGATGGGAAGCCGATTTGCTTTTTTTTCT